AACGGGAGCACATGGGCACATGTAATCTCAATCTTAGTACGCGAGGATGCGTTTTCTTCTAGTGTCAGTGTCTCCTACATTGATCTTCACCCCCCTTCTGGTGGTGGAGTTTGGGTTTCTTCTCTTTCTTTATGTTTCTGTTTGCCTACAACACGCTAGGCTATAAGCTGTTCAAGCACTTTGTATTTTTTTTTTGCCATTTCTTACCTTTTGTTATTAGTTGTAATCTTGGTCGGTGGATGACTTTGTTAATTAAAAATTGATTTCATTCGGCTCTACTAAAAGAAATAAACTTATGCCACGCTTCTTTCTGATTAGACTATGCACTCCCTCCTTATCATATTATTATTATAAAGTATATAAGTTTTGTTTGAAGTCATTTTTAGTAAAAAAGAAGAGTTTTTTTGCAAACCTTTAACAGAATCACAGAAAAGCATAAACATATACAATTGTCACTTTTAGAAGTCCTGTCAAGCCGCAGGTCGCAACAGTTTATCTTGACTTGCCACACAGATAAGCGGCGGCTTAGGCTTAGCAGCCCATGGTACACGCAGGACGATCGTCTTTTCCTCGAAACGGAAGGCAGGACGAATTTTAGTTTTGGACCCTTATCCACGCTTCCTTCTGATATTACTAGTAAAAATTTAACACATGTGATCCTCAAAATAAAAATAAATTTTTTAACACATGTGAACCGCAGATTTTCTGATCCAACGGGAGCGCACGGGCACGCGTGATCTCAGTCTCTAGAGCTGGCTACCATTCTGGCCGCAGACGACGCCCCCGGGCGAGTCAGTCGAGCGACGGAGCGCCACGTCGCCCACGCGCTGGCGTCGGCCGATACATCGCCATTGGCGACTTCCCGTCCAAAATTAATGAGTCGTGGAGCAAGTCAACATTGACGCTGGACCGACGTGCGTGATCGATCGATCGATCGGCTGGTAAGGTAAACTGTTGCGGCAAGCAAGCAACCCAAAAGCAGCCAGCGAAGCGAGACAAGTCAGTAACGAGAGGTCAGTGCACAGCCTCCCGGCCGGCTGCCTGCGCTTATAAAGGGCGGTATAAGCAGCTCGAGATGGGATGAGCTCCGCAGGGACGTAAGCTAAGCGAAGCAGCAAGCAGATAAAAGGCCATTATAAGTGGTGGCGCACGCGCGCGCGAGCAGGGAAGGTAGTACGCAGCGGCGGGAAAGGGGAGATGGCGATGGCCAGCGCGAGGAGCAGCCTGGAGATCGTGCCCCACAGCGGCGACCTCGAGGTGCCGCCGGCGGACGTGCCGCGGCAGGACTCGCTCTACCGCGACGCCACCAGGCCCGCGCACGGCGGCCACCATGGCCAGGTATGCATGCATGGCAACGCCGTTGGTGAACCTGCTAGCGCGTTGTTATCCTAGTGTCTGTGTTCATCGCCTCGGCCAGTCGGACTGCAAATCTGCATGGTGCCATGGTGCATGCCCATCAGATCGGCCGTGGCTTCTTCCTCCTCTGCCGCATGCCGCATGCGCTGCTCCGTCAAATTAAGCTAGCATTCTCTCCTCCTTCTCCCCGTCGCCCGCCGTTCCGACTGGCCGCCGCCGCCCGTCGCGCGGTTGTGTAGAACGTAACTGAACCCACCACGTACAGTGCCACCGATGAACGGCACTCTTATCCACGAAGACCTTATAAAGTAGTACATTAATAAGTTTAAATCCGTCATCTTGGCAACATCTCTCGCTACTCTTATCCACTTGATAAAGGGGTGCAGAAATGCTGAGCCGAATATCCAAACCTTTCACCTAAGCCTAACATCAAAAGCCGAAGGCCCCTCCGCGCCCAAGCTGAAGCTGCTGGGAGGAGGAGGAAGGAGATAGCGTGTGACCCAGCATGGTGGCACGTAGACATAGGTAGCACGTTCCTACGGCTGTTCGACGTTGTTGAAGAAGTAAGTAACGAGATTTGTCAGACCTGCCGCACGTTGTTTTCCACCACTTGGACTACTCGGGCAGACTTAGTTGTTCTTTATGTCATGCCACCTGCATATGCATGCATGCTCTACCTTCTAGGACGTACTCCGCTAGGAGAATTAATATGTCGATCCAAGTCCAAGCTTGATATATACTGTAAATGTTCCTATCCTGTGTCTGCTGCTGGGTGGAGGAGGAACGACGATCGAGCGTGTGACCGAGCATGGTACGTGCGGTGGTACGTACGTGGAGAGGAAGCATATAGCGCGTTCCTACTGCTGTTCGACGTTGTTGAGCAAGCAAGGAGATTTCTCAGAGTTGCCGTACGTTGTTTTCCACGACTTAGACTATTCGATCGGGCAGACTCATCAAGTTGTTGTTTGTTCTTTATGTTATGCCACCTGCATATGCATGCTCTAGCTTCTAGGTAGTACAAGAATTGACATGTGGGATCCAAGTCTAAGCTAGATACTGTAAATGTTACTCCTACCTATCAAGTTGGACTGCTCGGGGTGTCAAGTTGGTGTTTTACTGTAGTATATGCACATGCATGGAAGAATTGTTAATAGTATCTTGATCCAAGTCCAAGCTTTCATACTGTAAACGGTACTCCTGCGCACCAACAGGACAACTGGGTGAGGACGCTGCGGCTGGGCTTCCAGTGCGTGGGGATCCTCTACGCCGACCTCGGCACATCGCCGCTCTACGTCTTCTCCAACACCTTCAAATACGGCGTCGGGCACAAGGACGACGTGCTGGGCGTCCTCTCCCTCATCATCTACAGCTTCCTGCTCTTCGCCATGGTCAAGATCATCTTCATCGCGCTCTACGCCAACGACGACGGCGATGGTGCGTGCCAACGATCGTCTCTCACCATACAGATCCATGTGTCATCTGAGACCATCATATATCAGTCTGAAGTCTGAACACCTACGCATGCTGCTAATTGTCTCCATGCCATGAACTCGATTGTTCAGGTGGAACGTTCGCGCTCTACTCGCTGATCTCGAGGTACGCGAGGGTGGCGCTGATCCCGAACCAGCAGGCGGAGGACGACCTCGTCTCCAGCCACCGGCATCTGTCGGCGACGAGGAGGAGGGCGCAGTGGATGAAGAACCTGCTGGAGACGAGCAAGCCGGCCAAGCTCACGCTCTTCTTCCTCACCATCTTCGCCACGGCGCTCGCCATCAGCGACTGCATGCTAACCCCTCCCATCTCCGGTACTCCTCCTCTCTTTCTTACCATCAGAATGACAGGGGCCTAATAACCTTAATTATATGTTTTTCTAATGAATGAATTGCTTGTGCAAATGTTTCAGTACTATCGGCAGTCAACGGCCTGAGACTGAGAGCGCCTCACCTGACAACAGGTACATAGAAATACAGTACCGAGATGTGTACTAACACGCATTCTCTCCACTTTTCAATCGATTTATATGTGAGTGTACGTAATCCATCAGTTAAACCTGGGAAGTCAAATGGAAAATGTGCCCAGCTCATGGCTACTGTCAGCCATAGCCTGCCCTGTATGGAGACTGCTTGCACATGACACGTACAGTCTCAGATCACGTTTCCCATGAGAGCAAAACTGCAAACCACGACAGTTCAGTTTAAACCAACTAGTTGCAATTTCTGACCGTTTCAACTGGCTATTAATTCCTCTCCACGTTTAGCTCGCAAACTAGTCTTCATGTTATTAATAACCAGATCTAGACCGAGCTGTCAAGAAATATAAATAAATTACCAGATCAGGATCAAGTTTGACATAGGACTTGGGACTTTGAGCGCCAGCCTGTTGCTGCTGACCCCCCTTGGTAGTGTAAAAAACAAGCAAGTGAATCCCCAAAGATCTGGGGAAGGAAACGACCTTGACCGACTTTCACCTACATTTCTACAGACTACAGCTTTTTTCTTTACATAATTTGATTCCTGATGATATGATTTGGTTGCTCTGAACAGATCAGATAGTGTGGATCACAGTGGGTATTCTGATATTGTTCTTCGCGGTGCAACACCTCGGGACCGACAAGATCGGTTACACGTTTGCGCCGCTCGTTGTCGTGTGGCTTCTCCTCATCGCCGGTATCGGGCTTTATAACCTGATCAAGTACGATATCGGCACCCTGAAGGCGTTCAACCCCAAGTACATCTTCGACTATTTCCGAAGGAACAAGAAGAAGGGATGGGTTTCGCTCGGTGAAATCCTCCTTTGCTTTACAGGTAAAAAAAGGCCCCTATCATTCTGATGATAGCATATATGGTACTGCATTCACAATATTCCACACTGGTCAGTTTCAGGGGGTGCTGTACTATTGGCAAAAAATCTTATGAAAGCACAATTTGCACACACTGAACTTTCTTTCTGTGGGGACTGGGGAGCATTTACTGAACTTGACAGAGTTGTTCTTTTGTGACAGGCACGGAAGCCCTCTTTGCTGATCTAGGATACTTCAGCATAAAGTCAATTCAGGTATAAATGAACATCCTCTTTGACTGCCACAATTACACTACATGATGCATTACACAATATTGAGGGATAATGATATATATTTAGACAGAAGATTCCTTGACCACTTCAAAGTTTGAAGCTCTATTCTTATAACTGTAAAAAAGATGATTAGGAAGATTTCCTTTGACTGCCAAGGTTCTGAAGATACTCCCACCATTCCAAGAGGTTTTTGGTATGGACAGAGTTTATCAGATGGAACTTTGGCTATTGTTTTTAACCCAAACATGTAAACTTGCATAACTAGAAAATACTTCTTTGAAAAAAATTCAAAAATTATATTTGTTTGGAAATCACAATAAGCTTTTCAATAGCGACAGTGAAAATTAAAGAAGCTTGACTACAACTTTCTAGAATGCCATCTATTTTAGATTGGGGTAGTAGAACTATTATGACTTTGTATACCATACACTGTGTTGTTTATTTCCTTAATATGACCATCACCTTTTCAATATGATTAGTGTAGTTTCTTTTACTGACCTGTACATGGTGAACTGTATGTAGGAAATTCTAGTACTTTCCAAGAATATACTATATGAAGACTGAACTAACATTTTTTCCCCTGTTTCAGCTGAGCTTTAGCTTTGGCTTACTCCCCTCCGTGTTGCTCACTTATATTGGGCAAGCAGCTTACCTCAGGACGCACATGGACGACATGATAATATCCAACGCTTTCTTCGAATCCATTCCAAGTATGTAACCGACAAGATACCTTACTAGTGTATACAGTACTACTATTCTGTAAGCCGTGCATCAGAAACTAATTAAAATTTCATGTGCAATTCCAGGCACTTTGTTCTGGCCGACGTTCGTTCTCGCGCTTCTAGCTTCAGTCATCGGAAGCCAAGCCATGGTCTCGTGCGCCTTCGCAACCATGTCACATCTGCAAACACTTAGCTGCTTCCCGAGGGTGAAGATACTGCGCACGTCAAGGCGTTACTCGGGCCAACTCTACATCCCTGAAGTCAACTTCTTCCTTTGCGTGGCTTCTTGTGTCGTCACCATAAGCTTCAGGACAACCGGTTTCATCGCCAAGGCACATGGTAAGAAATGCATCCAACACATGATTGAACAGAAAATACAGTTTCAAATAGCGGGTCATGCCTCTTAGCGGTGGATCCCTTCTAAACGTAACAGTGTGCTATTTAAAATGTGTGTTCATGTGTTTGGACCAAAGTCTCTTAGCCCATGATCTCTTCTAAACGCTATAGCGTGCTATTTAAAACCATGACAGAAATCTATGCATGCTTATCTCTGTGGCCTAATGGACATGACGCGTGCTTGAACAGAGATCTGCGTGGCTCTTGTGATGGTGATCACGACGCTGTTGATGACGATCGTGATGCTCCTGGTGTGGAAGGTGAATATCTGGTGGATCGCCGCTTTCTTCGTCGTCTTCATGTCCACGGAGACCGTCTACCTGTCGGCGGTGCTGTACAAGTTCACACAGGGCCCCTACTTCCCGCTGGCCATGTCGGCGGTGCTCATGGTGATCATGATCGTGTGGCACTACGTGCACGTGAAGCGGTACAAGTACGAGCTCCAGCACACGGTGTCGCCCGACGAGGTGAAGCACCTCCTCGAGCGCCACGACCTCAAGCGGGTCCCGGGGCTTGGCCTTTTCTACACGGAGCTAGTGCAGGGCATTCCGCCCATCTTCCCCCACCTCATCGAGAAGATCCCCACCGTCCACTCCGTCATCGTCTTCATCTCCGTCAAGCACCTGCCCATCCCGCACGTTGACGTTCAGGAGCGCTTCCTCTTCCGGCAGGTGGAGCCCAAGGAGAGCATGGTGTTCCGGTGCGTCGCTCGGTACGGCTACCGGGACACCCTCGAGATGGCCGGCGACTTCGTGGCCACCCTCGTCGAGTACCTCCAGTACTATGTCCGGGACCTCAGCCTCTACTGCACGGCCGAGCCGCTCAGAACAAGCTACCCTAGCATTCGGATCGATAGCTTCAGATGGGAGAAGAAGCCCTCGGGGCGCTCAGGGCGCTCGGGGCATGGCCATGGCATCCATGCCGAGGAGATGCTTACACCAATCCAGTCCTTCTCTGAGCTCACGATGCATCAAGTTGGTATGAGCAACCGGCTGCCGCAATTTCAGGTGAACAATCTACACGCCAACTACAAGCTATATTCTCTTATCAAGAATTAGTTGCATTTCTCATCTATACTCTACATTATTGGCTGGATCTGATTTTTGGTACTTGTTCTCACATTGAACTAGACGGCCAAGATGAACCTAGAGGAGATGTTGAGAATTGAGGAGGACCAAAAGGTGATCCAACGGGAGGTGGATAATGGTGTGGTGTACATACTTGGGGAGACCGAAGTGGTGGCCAAGCCCCACTCCAACCTCCTTAAGAAGATTGCCGTAAACTACATCTTCGACTTCCTACGGAAGAACTCTCGAAAAGGGGAGAAGATGTTGTCCATTCCACGCGGGCAACTTCTCAAGGTTGGTATCACATATGAAATATAAATTTACAGAGCAAGCAGACGGATTATGTGCACAAAGGGTCCGTGTAGATATGTGCACCATGCATGCCGAAGACTTCATGTGTTGGTTCATGGAATTGATGGGCGTGCGAACATACGTCTGTGGGGCAGCAGAATGAATGTATTTCATATGTACAAGAACGTATGTCTGCGGAGTAGGCATCTTATTAGTCATGTCGGCTATGTATTTTTCCTCCTCTTGTCATGTATGCGTGATGTCGGTTGTGTGCATCCTAAGTATGTAAAGGCTAGATGTGAACTCATTGTACTTGTATCCCCTTGATGTGACTTTATAAGTTCATAAAAGCGCCCTTTTACCAAGTGAAAGACGTATATCTATGGGGCTAGACAGAGAGCTGTCTAGTAAGGAATTGCGTCAGGTATTATTATTGCACACTATGTACCACATATTGTTGCTAAGTCTACCAACCTTCAGTTGATATACTCCCTTGGTAAAGAAATATAAGAGCGTTTATAGATCACTGAAGTAGTGATATAAACACCCTTATATTTCTATTTTCTTTATAGAGCGAGTAGTTTCTAACAACCTAAATGAGTTGTTCAAGAAGATGACCTTGGATGTTAGGGGGAGACCAATTAAGATAATGGTCGCATGCCGCATGCATTAGGGCAAAGATGATGGTTAAGTACAATGGGAGGAAAATTGGTGGAGAAAATCTAGATGGTAGATAACCTCTATTTATACATAGAAAAAACATAAGAGGCCAAGGGGACTAGGAACCACAAGTATTTGCGTGTTGGTCCTAATGCGTGGCAAGTAAACAGTGGGGGAAAAAAAGCATATTTTGTGAATCTGGCAGACTGAACATGTTCAGTGGGGGAAAAAGCAACACCTTATCACCATGTTGGTTAAGCCATATATAAATCAAACCAACACCCTCAAGACTTTGTCCATGAGTTATTCAAAATGCCAATGTACATACTTGAAAGCATACAAGCCACTGATATACCATGTACCTAGCCCAGATGCATGGACGAAGACTGATACGAGAGACATTGACCCTCCTATTTTCAAAGAGGAAAAGGGCATAGAGCGAACCAGATGAAGGAAGGGACAATTTGAAGTCCCAAAACCCAGAGATACATCTATACTAGGAACAATAATTTATACTCGCATCCATTTGAGCGACAAGTAATATGAACCGGAGGAAGCAGTAACGACAAGAGACAAAGCCATATGTACACCAGTTATGAAGTTCCATGGTGGGGACTGCAGTTGAGGAAACATAAACACAAGGTATTAAGCATGTTTATTTTTTGTTTTACTGTCAATGTGTTCCTCTAATGCATCCATTTTATTCTTGCGTTTCAACAAAATAGAAGAAACACAAAGGAGCAATGAAATTCATCATCTGCTCCTACAGCTGCAACCTTATCTTTCCAGAAAAAAAAACTGCAACCTTATCTGATGGATGGGCTGCACTTAATCCTGTGAATGGGTGGCTGGATGTGCTGCATCGTGCAGGGATCGGCTGAAACCGTCGTCCGCGTAGCAGCGTTCATGTTACAAGGGCTCTTCCTCCGAGTGCTGCAGCTACTGGTCCATCTTCTTTTTTTAGAAAAAAGGCGAGAGCCCGACTTTATAGATAAAGCCACCAGGCAGAGTATATGACCAACAACAGCACCCATCAAAGTATCACGCGCAGAAGATAAAGAATCATTACAAGGCCAGCGGCCTTACATGGCACGCAGGCCAGCCTAAACCAGACACCAAAAGAGCATTCAGGAAGCCGTCCTCAAAGAAAGCCGAAGAAGCCCAGACGCCGTAGATTTCATCTTGGATAGCATGGCGTCGAAGGCCTCGAGGTCCCCTTCTTTAGTCAATAATCTTCACTGCTGCAAGAAACCATTGGCTTTAAATAAGCAATTGACAGGATTAGCCGGAAAAATATGTTCAATCGAGAACTTATTCCTAGTAGTCCACAACGACCAGCCAATCGCAGCCCATCCAACTAAGAAGACTCTTTTAGAATGGCCAGAAAGAAGATTGACATAATGCCTCAGGTCTTCAAAGGAGGAAGGGGACCAATTTACATGTAACCAGAGTCTGATGCAACTCCACATAAGTTTAGCTAAGGAGCAGTGAAAGAAAATATGCTCAGTGTTCTCCAGTGCCCCACAAAGCACACACCTGTCGGACCCCGGCCCGTTTCTTTTCTTAATCTGATCGGCCGCCGGAAGTTTACTCCGGACAGCTTGCCAGAGAAATATCTTGATCTTAGGAGGAATTCGAGCCGACCAGACATGCTTAAACTTGACCGGGCGCCCCCCAGGGATAAGCTTGGAGTAAGCAGATTTAACCGAAAAACGCCCCGAAGAGGAGAGGGGCCACACCACGGCATCCTCTTCCTTCGAGAGCAGGGGGAAGCAAGCAGTAAGGCGCTGCCAATCTTCCAACTCTTCAGGAGAAAGAGAACGACGAAAATCCAGAACCCAACCCCTAGCCGAGAGCTCAAAGATAGAAACCTCAGTATCATCGCAATATGAAAATAGAACCGGAAAAGCAACAGCCAGCGTGGAGTCCCCGACCCACCAATCAAGCCAAAACCGCGTAGACTTACCGTTCCTAACTACAAATTTTACAAGGGACCGAAAGGTCCATCTTCTTCACAGCGTGCTCCTACCAAAGCAAGAATAAAAACCATGCAAAATAGCACCACTAATACTCGATCTCTTTCTCTGTTCCTAATGTCTTTCTTCTTCCTCTCCACGCATAGGGAGCAGGCTATTACACCTAAATTCATAATGAGAAGTACTGGCAGTGGCAGAGCAATGAATGACGAGTAAACAAAAGTAGGGGAACATGCAGAAATCTCATCAAACGTACCTCAGATCGGGCCGGGCGGTTGACTGCTGGCCTGCTGCAGCTACACAAGGCAGGGTGCCGGGCACGGGGCACCCACTGCCGAGCGTGGACTGGGCGGCCGCGGGCTCCGGCTGGGCGCGCTGACGCCGGGCAGGGGCGGGTCGCCGGCGAATTAGGGCGGCGAGATCGGTGGGAGTGCAGAGCAGTCGAGGGGAATCAGGGAGACGGTTTGTTTTTAATTGATAAATCCCGAAATGTTCGGATTTTAGCATGACAATTCGAACGTTTTTTTAGTGAAAATTTTAGTTCACACGATATTGGTATACATAAAAAATTTCTGACAAAAAAGGACACAGTTGGCTTGTTTTAACAACTAAAATTGCCACATCGCATCAACAAAATTTGCCATTAAAAAGCATTCGAGATAACATGCATAAAATCCAAACGTTCGAGATTTATCTGGGTATTTTTTTTTCTTTTGAGCAAAAGGCTACGGCGGTTCTTTTTTGAGGGGTTGAAAAAACTTTTGTTTTTTTTAACACAGTATAGACACAAATGCTCATATATACGCGCATGCACTCATCCTTATGAACGCATACATGCACACCCTATCTCTAAGAGCATTTCCAAAAGACTGAGCCGATATATCATCTTGAGATTTTACGAAGTCATCGTAAACATCTCGTAGTCGATGAGAACATCTCCTCTCGCTAAACATGTATCGTCAGAAATTTTAAAATAAATCAAGGATAAATACAAGCACCAGAACTTACAGTAATATCTGGTCTTTCTATCGGCCAAACATGCCGACCAAAATTCAGAGCAGTAGCAACTCTACCTAAACTATGTGCTTCGACATTTAAACTTTGTTTCTCATAAAGGAGGAAGTAAGATTTGGCAGGCACACAAGCACTGCGGCACTACACATGACCGTGGCACAAATTTCAATATTTGCAGACACGTGTAGGACGAGGAAGCGTTTTGCTTTTCAGGAGCATTTTCTCCTGCATGAACAGTAATGTAACCTTTTCTTACAAATTTGCAGGTAGCATTTAGGATGACATTTTAAGGTAACATTTAGTGTTCAATTTGTTTTTTGCATAGTCCAAAATGTTTAACCTTTTCTTAGAAATTTGCAGATAGCATTTGAATGTTACTATAAATACATAAAATAAAACTTGGTATTTTTTTGACATTTCAACTATCATTTTTGTGCGCTCCCGGAAGCCAAATTGGATTTCCACATGTAGGACCGATTCTCAAAATGAACCACGCATTAAAAAAGGCCGCATGTAAGTGATTCTCATATACATTGATTTCTTTTTTTTTGTCTGTGCAGGACACATCTAAATGTGACATAATTATGTCACATCTAATCTGATGATCACTCTGTTTGTGGTCTATTTTTTTGTTCTAGTTTTTTTATTTTTTATTGTTGCATTATATATTTGTGAAAGCTTAGATGTGATATCTTTAAAGAAACATCTAGATATGAATTAGACAAACTGTTTTTTTTTGAACACGTATACATTGATTTCGTCCCCTTGGCTATGAAACAACAACTCGTATAAATTACGGTATTTCACCTACATCTCACAGTTAAAACTGAAACAATGTCCGGAGTAAAGACGTGAAATCGATCAACATCAATGTGGGTTTAAATCTTTTAAGCCCGACGAGGAGAAGGCGCCGGCACCGCGGCTGGTCCGGGCGCGCCGGAGCGAGGGGCCGGAGCCGGAGCGCTGGCGGTCGTCATGCCGGCCCAGAGGCGGTCGGCGATGACCCGGTTGGCGGCGTCAGAGGTGTGGTACGCGTCCCAGAACACGTACGCCTTGCGGTCGCGGCAGGGCGTCGAGTCCGGCAGGCAGAGGCCGCCGACCTTGGTGTCCACGCCGCAGCACGACGTGTCGGACGTCGTGAACCCTGCAACAAACAGCAGCGCAGAAGAAAAGAAGAGGAGGTCAGGCACGGACCACGACGCACCGGAACGGCTTGGCCGGCGCCGTCGATGTTACCGTACCGTTTCTCTGCGGGTGGTCGATGAGCTCCTTGACGACGGAGTAGCAGTCGGCGAGCGCCATCTGCGCGCCGGGCAGCCTGGCGTTCATGCCGTCGAGCAGCTTCTTGGCGGCGGCGTTGAACTGCACGGCGTAGCTGTTCACCTGGGCTATGCACTCCCCGGTGGCCGACTTGACGCGCTGCGACGGGATGCAGCCCAGCGGGGGCAGCCCGTTGAACGCCACCTTCCGCGCGCCGAGCCCGTACAGCCTCTGCATAGTTAATCAGCGGACTGTCTGTCAAATGGATGCATTCCCGACTTGATAATCGACTCTAGCTTTGTGCATGTCTCTAGTCTGGGACAGTGATCAGATTTGTTTCTTGCCTTGAGCTGCCGGTCTAGAGTGGCGACGAGGAGGCGGATGAACTGGTCGTGCGTGTACGTCGTGCCGTCCGCCATGAACGGCTGCAGGAAGTTGTTGATGTAGTCGTTGCTCCCTGATGCAGACGACCAGATTAATTTATGATGCGCGTGATTAATCCATAAGCTCGTGCGTACTACTTTTTCACGGAGTGAGACGAAGGCAAACGACGTACCGAGACCAATTTGGAACATGGCTGCGTTGACAGTCTCCTCGGCGGCCTCCTTGCCGATCTTGGCGATCATGGCCCTCTTGACAGTCTCGAAGCACGATATCTGCTCGTCGAACGAGAAGTACTCGACCTGCAAATTTAACCGTGTCACAAAACTGAGCTACTACAAAGTAGTGATCAGTGCCGATCGAGGAGTAGCAGTTAGCAGTAATGCGGCTTACAAAGTAGACGCCTGTCTCGTTCAGAATGCCGGCGCCACCAGACGCGAAGTTGACGCCGGCGAGGAAGTCATCGTCGGCCAACGACAGGGAGAGGAACGGCGGCGGGGGCGGGATGCCAAACTTGGCCGCTGCATCAGACCGAACATCCTTCAGGCATGCCACTCGATCTCGTCGCACGTGTACACGGTTCATGAACTAAGTAGTAACGTTGACAGTCAGTAGTGACTTACCCATGTAGTCTCCAATGGTTCTGCCGTTGGTGAACCTCCCGGTGGCGACGCCGTTGGGGTAGTCGATGCCGTACCAGGGGTAGTTGGACCTGGCGAGGGAGAGCTGGAAGTAGTTGTTGTTCCCCACGTCCGACATCGAGTCGCCGAACACGTACGTCACCGGGCCCTTGGTCGCCGTGCCACCGGCGACCCAATAATGTGCGGCTGCGGCGACGATGGCAATGCCGACGACGAGCGCGCGGAGAGCTGCCATTGCTTGTTGCTTTGGTACAGTACTCCCTGACCGAAGAACACACACAAGCGTCTGTGTGTTGGTGCTGATTTGCATGGCGGGGCGGCGCCGATTTATATATAGTGCGGCACAAAACCGTGGCTCGTCTAGAAGGTCGGGTTATTATAGTGAAAAACGGGTCTATAGTTTTCCGGCCAGCTTGAGTTGAGTGTAGTGCGATGAACGGCAATACTGCGAGCTCACGGCTAGCCCGGTGTGGCGGCCGCGCGGGCAAACGAGAAAACAGAGGAGTTGGCCGTGCGAGCAGACGTGGTAGCTGAGGTGGTTGAAGAAGAATGACGCACTGCACTGTGTTGTTGCTAGAAGCAATTTTGCTTTGCTTGAATCGAGAACGTGAAAAACAGCTCCCTGGTGGGTGCGAACGTTGCAAACCTGCTGCAACCGGACAAACGAGAAATTTCCGGATTTTATTTTCCTCTTAGGGAGGAGTAAGATACGGTCGGGAAAAAGGGACTTGTCAATCCTTCAATTGAGACTGTGCACTCTATCTATGAGAAGGTAGATAAGGATGAAAACCATTAATCCCCTCCTAATTGAACGTAAGGATTCCTTGGAAAATGTTGAGCAGGAGACTTAAAGCTCTCGGGAAATTGTCTTGCCTAGCTAAGAGACATTAAAGACAAGAGCATGTGTCATCGCAAAAAAGAAGAAGACAAGAGCATGTGAGAGGCAACCCATGTTATGCTTTTGTTTCCGGCCGCTGCTAGGCGTAAGCCGGCTGATCTTACGAAAAGATCAGCCGCCTTGCCAGCCGTTCATTTGCATCGATTTGAGCCACTTAATCCCTGGACCAGCCATCACTTACACCACAATACGCTCATGCATCTTACGCCGCCACTCCAGCCAGCCATCGTATGCAACGCAGCGGCCTTTCCCAGGCGACAAGGCGCAGTTGGCCGGCATGGACCACGAACTTTTGCTTGCACCAGATGCAACATTCACGTTGAATCACCCGTGTCGCCGGTCATCTGAAAGCAAAGCGCCGGCAAGCTCGTCAGCACTAGCCACGGCTGCAGCGCCAACGCTGTTGCGACCATCTTCGGAAGCATCAGCGATGCTCCGGCGTCCCGTCTCAGCACCGGCAATGCTTCGGCGACCCGTTGATGTTCCATCAAAGCAATGCTGATGCTCCGGCACCCGGCAAAATGATCCGTTGCAGCACAGGCGATGCTCCGTCGACCCTTCGATGCTCCATTGCAGCATCGGTGATGCTCCGACGACCTGACCATGCTCCATCGCATCACCAGTGATGCTCCGGCGACCGTTGATGCTTCATTGCACCACCCGCGAGGTTACGACTGCTCGTTGATGCTCCATCGCAGCACCGGTGATGCTCCGGCAACCCGTCGATGCTCCATAACAACACCGGTGATGCTAGATAAAGCTCATTGAAGCATGACTCGTTGCATTGCCGCGAACGTCGACGCTGTGATGGCACGCCTCGTCCACAGTCATCTACGCTGTTGTGGTTGTCGACGCATGCCACGACCTTGAAGCATGCCTCGTTGCATGGTCACACTCGTCAAACAATCGTCATGGCATGCCCCACCGCTCTAGTCGTTGAAGCATTGCCATGGCCGTTGAAGTCGTCACGGTCATGGAAGCATTGCCACGGTCTATGAACACGCCTTTCCTTGTGGTCATTGAAGAATCTCCTCAATCATTGACGTCGTTGTGGTCGTCGAAGCATCACCGTGACCATTGGAACATCCTCATTGGCTCATTGCATGGTCACGGTCGTCCACGCCGTCATGGCATTGCCTCGTCGCCCTAGTTGTTGAAGCATTGTTGTGGCAGTCAAAGTCATCATGGTCATGGAAGCATTGGCACGCCCATTGAAGCACGCCCCGTCGTGTTCGTCGAAGCATTTTCGCAGTTGTTGATGGCATCGTGGTTGTCGAAGCATCACCATGACTATTGGAGCATGCCTCCTTGCATGGCTGCGGTCGTCAATGCGGTCATGCCATGCCTCGCAGCTCTAGTCATTGAAGCATTCTCGTGGCCACAAAAGTTGTCATGGTCATGAAAGCATTGCCACGGCCATTGAAGCACGCTCGTCGTCGTGGTCATCAAAGCATTCCACGGTTGTTGATGTTGTCATGGTCGTCAAAGCATTACCTGGGGCTCGTCCCAGCTGCGATGGAGCATCATTGGGCAGCCGAAAGCACCGGCAGCGCCGGCGAGAGTTGCGTTACAGGACCGGCAGCTGACGACCGTCGCCGTCATAGCACAGTCAAACCCTGCATCGCAGTACAGGCAACCACCACGGGCCGTATAACAGCGCAACCCTGGCAAGGTCTGCATTGCAGCGCCGGCGGCCGGCGACGAGCGCCGCGTCGCAGCGCCGACAGCACCACCGGATGCTGCATCACAATTCACACAATGGCAACCGTCGACGGGTGCTGCGTCGCAGCGCCGGAGCATCTCTACAGCGTCGAGTGTTTCATCACAACATCCGATGTGTTGTGTTCCAACATGGCCGCCAGCTTTGCATCCTATATTCTTTAGGAGCTTGGGTAGCAGAGGTTCACGGGGAGAAGAACGAAAGGTTAAAGACGAAGAAAGTGGATCACGTTTTAGGAGACAAGGAGTAAAAATGGGTGGCTCAACTTCGCGAAAGAGGAGATAAAGTTTGGTGGTTGATGGCTGACGCGAGTTGCGCGAGAGGCGAGCACCGCATGATCGAGTCGATCGGACGCTTCACGAAGCAGTTTACGACAGCCAGAAATCAGTCGGATGATTGTAAACGTTTTCCTTTGTTTCCTTTGTTTGTTAATGAGGATGTTGCTCTTCCTGTCAAAAGAAAAAAGAAAAAGAAGAAGAGGGTGTTGATCTTTGTAACCATTTTGTTTTTATGTTTTTTTCTTAATGAAGTGCCAAGGATTGCCTTTACCATGTTAAGTTTGTAAGTCTGTGAGTTGTTGTGCTGAAACAGAAAGTTTGCTGCTAGGTTTTATTTTGTCACGGTTTCTACACAATAAGCATAGATAAGTGCTTTGTTTTGTACGGGAATACGTAAATGCTTTGTTACGTGGTAAGTTTTTAGTTTTTGGAAGTTACAGAGGTATGGATATTATTTACGTCCTTACAAACTGCTTTGTTTTGACAGTTTCTCTTATACCTATCATAAGCTGCTTATTGCAATTTTACTATTCCCCTTATAAATATGTGTGATACTAGAATTGTTTAGTATACAGTAGCCAGATAAATTATAAATTTTTTCCAATCATATTACAACATGATTTAAATGTTATTTATACTAGAAAAAAGTCTACATTTCAACCCCAAACTAACCACACGCATTAACTTACAACCCTGAACTACGAAACCGGTTGAAACACACTCCAACTAACCTCGAGGTTCAGGACACAAGACAACTTCATGACCGATAAACTATTGGGTTATAAATTTTTGAAGAAAAGTTTTTCAGAAATGAACCTAAGTTGTGGGTCTATAAATGGTATAGCCTGAAACTTGAGAAGACTTTCAATAGTATGTAATCTGGATTAATAAAAGTTTATTGATAAATTATGATGTAATTCCAAATAGATATTGACTATATGGAGATATAGCAATAGGACTATATGAAGATATAGTATTACTATATAATGGACTATATGGAGATATAGTGTCTCTACTCCTAATGGAGCAGTTGGTAGTCTCGTTTCCAGGTTTTTTTTTCGTCCCACCTTTTATGGTTTTTTGGTACCTCGTCCCACCTTACACTGAGCCGCCAAGAACCGAAAAAACCACGTACCGAAGCCCCCACCCGCCCCCACGCACTCGAGGGCCTAAACTCCGATCGCACCCAAGACAATCCAGCGAAAAAACCTACGAAAATTAACCAGCAAAAAAACCTAATGGAGGAGTTGGTAGTCCGGTACGGTTTATTTTCAACACTTTCCTAATGACAAAAGACCACGGATCTAACTTTCCTAGCTTAGCCAAATCAACGAATCTCTCTCATTAATGCAATTTGCTTTAGGAAACAAATAATAAATTCTTTCCTACCTTAGCCAAATCAACGGATCTCTCCCATTAATGCAATTTTCTTTAGCAAATAAATAATAGATTCTTTCCTACCTTAGCCAAATCAACGGATCTCTCTCATTAATGCAATTTGCTTTAGGAAAAAAATAATAGATTTTTAGGAAAAAAATAATCTCTAATCTCTAATTCTCTAATAATAATAATAATAATAATATATAATACCTAAAAGAAACGCAGCGTTCCGTTTCCCGTCTTACGTCGTCAAACCCTTCGTCGAGCCTTCCTCCCGTGTGCTATTGGTTTTCCCTGCGTACGTTCCACCTCAAACGTGATTCGTTCTTCTTAATTATGTGGCCCCACCCCCATGCGATCCGGTGAAAGAACCAGCAAAACCGTCATACCCACGCATGCAAGCAACGAAAAATCCACGCAAGCCGTGTCTCCTCCTCCATGTTCAAACCCTAGCCGCCCCTTTCCAGTTGACGCCGCTAGCGAGTAGCACAGGCACCAGTGCGGCCCTTCCGCGGCCCCCCTTGACCTCGCAATGAAACAACTCGTCGGCATCGACGACGAGTCGGTGCGTCCGGTGTTGATTCCTGTGGATGGGTCAAGCAGGACAGGGGGGCGGTGGATCCAGGACATAGTCATGAAGTCTCCTTCGATGCGCGCCCAGTATTATCTCAAGTGCATGGGTCGATCCTGGACGGCGGGCGATGGATCAAGGACGTACATAGCAGCTTTCACCTACGCAAACGGCTGACTACTCAACCTCCTCTCGGCGGTGGCAGCGGCCAGGTTTGGTTAGCTACCATTTATCTTTAATACATGCCATGAAAGGCGATCACAAGGAGCAATCATAAGCAGCGAGGTGTTCCAAGGCTACGAGCGCCAGTACTGCGACTCTGCATCTGCGAGGTCTTCGCCAAGACCGCCACCCTCTCTTCCCGTGCCTATTTCTATTCGTTGTTGTTGGTTTCGTCTTACATGGTGAGATCTAAGCAGACAAGATGAAGCAGAGGTTCTCTGAGATCCAGTCCGACGTGCAG